GAGTTCAAGGGCGGGTCGAAATAATGGGGGTAAGTAGAAACACGTCGTTTTTAAACAGTTTGTGTCCGTTTCGTTACTTTGTGACTTCGTTAAAAAGAAACTTTGACTCCCAACAGACTACCACAAAGTAACTAAGCAATGTCCACCATGTTTGATTAGCAACTCGGGCGTCCCCCCGTTTGCATCTCCAACCAGTGCACTTCAAAATAAAATGCACATTTCTTGAATTTTTTCAAAATTTATTTAGTGTCTGAACATCGGTGCTGCGATTGTGCACCGTTAACATAATCGCCAAAGCGAATTCCGATGCGTATCCGAACGCATCGGGATGGTTTGTTTATCTGAGGCGACCTATTGATCAAAGATGCACATCCTGTGGACACTTGCTGCAAGTCAGGAGTGCGGTCCTCCCCGGGTTGCAGTGTACAGCTATCTTGGGCAGTTAAGAATTTAGTCCAGACTCGTAATTCAGAAAGTCGAATGCATTCGTAATATGATGATTTTGAAGAGCATTCCTTCCATCAATTGATAATAAATATTTAGTCAAAGAACTTTGTTGTTCACTTCTCCTTTTTCACAAAGCGGAAAATATGACTCTCCATTCATCATTAATATGCCGGTAATGAAACAAAATTTTTGAAAATGTTGAGTACTTCCTTTTTGGGGGTTTATCAGTTTATGCACTTCAGTTTGTGACGGGTCTACTCTACAGTGGAGTTTTGATACATGGATCTATATAATGTCAAGAATGTTATTGTAGATAAAAGATCAAAATTACATCAAAAAATTTTCTAAAGCGATTCATCGCATCATCTCTGGAATAGGAACTCGTTTCATATCTGACTTATTTTGTTAGCCTTAAACTGCCTCTAGACTTTGTTTGTGTGGGGAAAAGGGTAGGGGGCAGGGGCGTCACTTCAGTTTTTTCAGGGGGGGGGGCTAAACCAAAACTCTGTTGGTTTTTTAAGTTGTTTATTACTGGAGGCACCACAGTACATAAAACCTGCAAATCCCCCACCCTGCCCTACCCAAATGATGTCCCTGGTTGGGGGGGGGGGGTGCTGCTGAATGAAAAAAAAATTGGGCAATGAGACCACATAATTACAACAAAATTTGTTATTTAAAGATACATAAATGTATAGACATAGAGAAATATATTTATTCTTTTTTTGTTTTTTTTTGTTATCTAAGGACAATTGTTGGCTTTAATTACTTGAAACCATGTCCACATACTTAACACTGAATTTTACGAATACCAAATAAAATTCAAAAATGATTCATTAACGACAACCAAAAAAACTCTTCTTATTCCATAATAAACAATTCTGTATATGATTACGTCTTGATGACAGTACTCTTTCGGGTACTTTGGGATTACAATTATCACTCTTCTTTTTTTTATCTCTTTTAAAGTGCATGGGATCCAAAAAGAAGGCTCCAGATGCCCCAAAAGAAGCAGCCGCTGAAGCAGTAAGTGAATAGACTATATGTATCGCATTAACTGGTCACGTGGACGAAGCGAATTGAATGAGACCTAGTAAGCCTCGGAACTTACCGTTAAAACAAGACCACCCATTTATAACAAAGTAACGCGTTGAAATAAACTGTACGTCCATATCCATAAAAAAAAAAATGTTAACCACGGGCTGCCCTTTAATCATTGTGCAACACAGTACTTAACTGAAGTAGACTACTTGCTTTGCCTTTTCAAATCCCAGTATCTTTCACGTCTTACCGGTACCTATCATTCTCCCCCCCCCCCCCCCCCCCCCCCCCC